ATTGAAGGAATATATAGTCCTAGAATATAAGTCAGTAAGTGGCTTTCCACAATTCTCTGAGCCCAAATTTGAGGCTAATTAAAAGATAACTGAGCAAGGTTCTGGAGTTGACACTAGGCAGAACTACAGATGCTCCCCCATAGCCCATTTCTCTCCGTTTCTTCCCTGCCTCAGTAAGTGTACCACCATCTAACCAGTACCCAGGCTGAAAACCTCAACTCAGCCTTGATATCTGTTTGTGCGTCCCCAGCCATCAGTGGGCTCTGTTGGTTCCTCCCCAAATGCACACCGAACCCCCCCATTTTTTCCACTTTCACTGCAATCACTTTGGTCCAGCCACCATCACTGTCGTGATCACCTGGACTATTGTAGCTTCTTCCCAGAGTTCTCCCAACTTACTCTTTCACATACCTAACAAACCTTCTCCACACAGCAGACATCTAATACACCAGCGAATGTGATCGTGTTACAACACCTTCCTAAAAACCTGCAAAGGTGTCCCATAACGTGTTCCCTATAGGGATCCTCCAGGTCTTCTGAGATCTTGCCTGCCTACCTCTATATCACCTTGTGCCATCACTCACTACACTCCAGCCATGCTGTCTCTCTCCAGCCCACTCCCATCTCTGAGTCTCTGAAGTTGCTCACCTTCTGCCTGGTCCTCCTTCCTCAGATCTTCACCTGCCTGGCTCTTTCTTGGTATCAGATGACCACCTCTCCCCAGAGAGTCCTTCCCTGCCCACCCCCTCTAAAGGAAATGCCCCTACTATTTTAGTTGGTTTTACTTCCACCGGAGCACCCATTGCTGTCTGAAATTATTTGGTTTATTCTTATGTGCCATTAACAGGAATACAGCACATAGATGGAGAGGATCCAGTCTGCTTGGATTCGATCATCCCTGGATTACTGTACTTGGTTCTCGTTGCTGCACTGCCCCAGGGACCAGCAACATGGGCAGGAAATTCAGAAAACCAGAGGTACTCAGCCTGTAGAACAAGAGGTCCTAGGATGAATACTGTTGCCATCTTTTAATATCTAAAAGGCTACTGAGAGGAAGGAGGGATAGATTTAATTTGGAGCTCTAAGGGCAGAATCCAGATCAATGGGTATTACTTTGATAAAGACAGATTTCAGCACAGGAAGAAAAATTTTTTTGATAGTCTGGGTTCATAGCAGGGGAAGGAACTACCTTAGGAAGTGGTGAGTTCCCCATCTAAGAAAGTGTACAAGTGGAGAACCACTTGGTAAGGATGTTGAGGAAGGCATTCAAGCAGCAGCAGATGGCCTCCAAGATCCCTTTTAAACTTGAGATGTCTGGATTTCTATGATAAATAGGGACAAATTTTTTAAAATTCTGGCTAACAAGTGTTCTAGAACTTATTTGTCTAGCTGCCCCTACAGCAGCAAACCTCACCGACACTGGGTCTACAAATTAAACAGTGGAAAGATTAGCTGAGAGGCTATTTTGTGGGCCTTTAAGCCATCCCACAGCTACACTGGACAGCTCCCTGGTTTTCAAATCTGTTATCTATATGTGGTTACTTGGAACATGAGATTGACAAATATTACGACTCTCCAAAAAATGCCTCAATTCCTAGGGGAAGATAGCCAGCACTATCACACATGGTCCGGAGTTTGTTTTCTGAAACTCCACCACTTCCTAACTGTAGGACCTCAGGCAGAGAAATTAACCCCTCCAAACCTGTTACCTTACCTGTAAAAAGGATTTGATTTTAAAATAGGGGGAAGGGAGAATTGAAACAAGAATGGCACAAAGTTGATAATCAACGAGGCTGATTGATAGACATTCATTATACCACTCCATTTTATGCGTCTGAACATTTGCACAACAAAAAGTAAAAAGAGGGGGAGTTTAAAATAGCACCCACTTCATGTAATAATTGTAGGGCTTAAAGAAATCATCACTATCATTATGACAAGGAATTTTTACAAATCCTAGTTATTACTGGTAATGTTTAAGTATCCCATTTAATCATCCCAACAACCTGATGAAATGCACAGTAATCATCTCCATTTGGCAGATGAGGAGACTGCAGCTCACATAAATTAAACAAGTCCCGCAGCTGGCACTGGGCTGAAATGCAATCGGAAACCAGAGTTATCTGACTCCACCATTGCAGCTGCCTTTATTTCAGGAACAGCGCATTGTGTTCTGCTTGGTTGATATCCGCACGATAATATCATTCACTCATCTGTGGCAATGGTTTCCTAGCCCTTTTCTCAGTAGCAGTACCTTTGGTCAAATGCAGCCTTCATTCAGAACTTCAGTAAGTAAAACTTACGAAAAGCTGAACGGCTCTGGTTAAAGTGGGGCTTGGGGCCCAGGAATCAGGCCACTCAACTCCAGGGGGGCCCCCTGAAGCACCCTCGGGTCTACGAGCATCGTGTGAAGACCCCAGCCTGAAGGCAACACAAACAA